ATTTTGGGAAACTACCATTTGGGATGTATATAAAGCCCTCATATTTGGGTACTTGAGCCCTGAGGCTGGTTTGACGACAGGGCCATTGAGCGCTAGGATCTGGTAGTCGCGGGGTGTTCGATCTTTGTGAAGGAGGAACCATTGGGAATACCTGTCCTGACAGGCGGATCTTATCCCAAAATGGACTACCTTATGGCCATTTTGAGTACCGGTATTTCGACAACTACCCAGTTGTAGCGCAGGTGCTTCCGGCCCCTTTTTTTGCTTCAGTACAAGCAGTTAGCATCCTTAGAGGACCGGCCGGAAAAACAGAATACATTCCCCCAAACTAACATGGAAACCCATATAGCCCCATTTTAGAGGGACTGTAGTCTTTATAGGGCCCCTTTTGGGTTTCCATGTTAGTTTCTGGGAGGGTACCCTTTGCTTCTAACAACGTCATCCGGCATGGGTTAGCGGAACATGAGTACTTTCAGCCAGGAGCAGGTAAAAGTTCCCCTAAACCCGAGAACCCATCGTTTTCCTCGTCTCGAAACAGTCGTTGGAGGAGAGTTCGAGGAGCGATTGAAGGCAGTTCTGAAGCTTGGCCAGCGCTAATAGCCTCTTAGGGCTTTTACTTCTTGTGTTTCCTACTACAGTACATGTACTAGTACGGCTAAACGGTCGTTTTTTGAGAGGGGGGCCAGCAGTCAGCTAAGGAAGGAAATCAAAGATGCGGATGGGAAAATCATTTCCTTTATCGATGCCGCCCGGATTCACACATGCAAGGGCCACCGGTCAACAGCCGCATTCCAAATCATAAGCTTCCCCATCCCCACCAAAACAAAGCAAGTGCAGACGCCAAATTGACGCTTCCCAAAGCAACGCAGCTCTTCAGAAAACTAAGATGGAAATAAAGCAGCAGCCAGCATAGCCCCCCCAGGGCCCTAGCAAAGAGACCTAACATACCTACATACTATCTACACATCCCTGAATACGTTAGGAACTCGCATGCCTAGCAAATGGGCTTGAGCCCCAAATTGGTTTGGGCGTGCATACCGCCATTGTTAGCCTTCTTGCACGAGTTCTTGCTAAGCAGCTGGGTAGGTTCTTTGTACATGTCTGGATTCCAGGAATTCCTGTCATGGAAGCTGTCAGACCCGTGTTGGCCTGGCAAAAGGATGAGGTTTTGCTTGTTTCAGCAAACGGAAGCAAGCAGGTTTCCTCATGAGATCCGCCAAGGCAGATGTGGTTGGCTTCAGAGTGTCAGGGTTTAGGGCTTGACAGGTTCCTGTAAGCCTGGCACCCAGCCCTACTTGGCAGTTTTTTCAGCCCGGGTTTGAGCCCTACTTAGGAAATCCACACCATTGTCGGTGCAGGCGCATCTGGTGGTGCTCCCTGGCTAAGTCTGTCTTGCCCAGGGTTGTTCCAAGACATGACTATTCCCTTCACTTAGCCACCATGGTGGCTTCCATTTCTCGTGGTTCGGCGGGGGTGTCTGGGCACTCGGCAATCAGCCAGCAGGGCTTATCTAGTCTAAGTTCAAGTACAAGTGAAGCTGTTGGCTATGGGACATTCTGGGGGCCCAAAGTATAGACAAACATGTGTGTTCCTTTTCGGGGTCACTCATTATAATGCACCCCCCACATATGTAGGGCCCAGGCTACGACCCTGGGTCCTAAATATGGGAAGAAAAAAAATACATGAGGTTACTTCGCAATTAACCCAATGAGTTGCAAAAAGATCGGAATCGCGCACCTATTCTCCAAAGAACGAGTACGTTTTCTGGAACCCTAAACCCTGAACCCAGGAATTTTCAAAAATAGCCCCAAACCCCGTCCCAAAACACAGACGGGCTACGTGAGGTTCCAATTCAGTCTGGGTGAGTGTTTGCACGATCCCCTAAACCCTAAACCAGCACTACCCAAGGGCCCCTATGTAGTTCTTTTTTAGGCCTGTTATGGCTTCTTTGGTAAGGGATTATAATATGGCAGCCAGAGAGGAGGGTCTGGACACCTAGACCTTCCCCTGCCCTGTATATATACCCCTAAACTTAAATCCCTATATCATCCCAGGTTCCATTTCACTTTCCATTTTATTCTCCAAGATTTGATTTTCCATTAATCATGTGGCTAACCCTAAATCCTAAACCCTAAACTAGTAGAGCCGGAGGCTATGGATGCAAGCAATCTGCTGAAGCCTCTGCTAGCGCGGGGCGAGCTTCGCTGCGTCGGCGCGACCACCTTGGACGAATACCGCCAGTATATCGAGAAGGCGGCTTAGGGTTTAGGGCATATCGAGAAGGCGATGAACTGACAGCGCCATTATCATAGCCTTGTAGGGACTGTGGATTTTAGGATTTGGGGCCTAGGGATGTCGAGACGGCAATGGGGTGACAATGTCGTTATGATAGCCCTAAGTTACTGGTTCTTAGCAGAGAATAGGGGAATCTATTTCCTACGTAGCCCCTATATGATATAGTCCCGTATTCCCGACTAGGAGCCAGCAAGTAACCCTGAACCCTAGAGGGACTGTGGATGTTGGGGACGGGCTCATGTACTCAGGGATGTCTGAGCAACCTGCTAGGCCAGGCCTAGCCCGTCCCAGATATATAGATATATCTATAATGTCCAAACCCTTTAGCCTAAACCATTATCTTCGAATATGCATGCATACATGTACAGCTACAGCTGCAGCAAGATCCTAACAGATCTTTAAAAAGGCCCCAGAATCTTCGCAGGTGAATGGGAGACGCGTCATAAGCCTGAGTCTGAAGTTGTGTCGCCCTTTCTGTGCAAGTCCCCCTAAACCCTAAACCCCTAAAATCCTAAACCCCTAAACCCTAAATCCCTTAACCCCTAAACCCTTAAAACTCTAAACCCTATAAACCCTAAACGCGAGTCACTTCTTGAAGAGGACGCAGCCTTGGAGCGGCGCTTCCAGCAAGTCCTGGTGCAGGAGCAACCTGCTAGCATAGTGGGCTTCTCGTTTGGGTACTGCCCCTAGGGTTTAGGGTTTAGGGTTTAGAAGGAATGGAAAAGAACATGGCCACAACTTTAATGAGTTGAAATGGGTTTAGGGGTTTAGAGACATTAACAGCTGGATAAGAAGTAGAATAGAATGATAGTTTTTCTAGCTATATAGAGCCCTCAATAGGACCCCTATAACCGACTGTGAATGGGTGGGGGCAGGACCCGACTTATAGTGACTGTACTGAGGATCCTGGTTTTGTGATGCTCTATCCTCAGGTGAAGTATGCATGGGGAGGTACACATTCCGTTCTCTATTCCAACAATGATAGTTCCCTGCATCATATTTCTCCGCATTCATTTTTCAAGTTATGTTTGTGTAACCCTAAACCCTAAACCCTAAACCCTTTGCCTAATTTGTTCTCCCAGGCCAAATCACCCCTGAGGGACAGGGTTTAGGGTTTAGGGGCAGGGTCTGCCCGGCCCTAGCCAGTTGTGAGTTTCTTTTGCTGCTTTCTTTACTTGGGGTGGACAAGAGCAGGCCTGCTTTGAGATCAAAATGCCTTCAACCCTAATCCCTATAAAGTCTGTTCCTTTATTCCCTACCCCCAAAACGTCTAGGCACCTTTCTGGAGTTTTTTTCTGGTGCTTGGCACTCTCAAGCACACAAACTGACATGGAGTAAAACATACGGGCCACTAGAAAGACCTTTGTCCTTTTCCCATATGATCCCTGGCTTGTTTGGGCGTGGTTTGGGCGGGGCCCCGCCGCTTCAAAGCTGTTCCCATGACTGGAGAGAACACAGATCCTGTACTTAGCTTTCAAACCCTGTTTTGGCCTTGTCTGAAAAGATCGGGCAAGAAGCGCCTTGAAGTTACAATGCAAGAGGAGCATCTTCCTCAACGCCTCAATTCCACAGTACTGGACTAAGAGCTACTAAAAAGCCACAGGACATCTAGATTCCCGATCGCTTGGGTGTTTCTCCAGATCCCCATTTGCGTTCCCAAATTGGGACCCATATCCTTTCCTCATACTCCCAATCAGAGTGCTGGCAGCCAGCGCATCTTTTGCCAGCAAAGGCCTAAAGTCCCCGACTGCGTGAGCATCCTAAGAGGCAGGGACAGGGCTTAGGGTTTAGGGTTTAGGGCAAGTCATTGCCCCAAAATGCTACGAGGATTGGGGGGTTTAGTGGCTCAGCAGGCGCCCCAGAAAGGCCAGGAAATACGACATATTTAAGGAATTTTGCATGTTCATTGTGAATGCCTTTTTATCGCTAGGGAAAATTCCCAGAAACTATTTGAAGGAGGACATGGAGTTGCTAGGCTTAGAAGCGTGAGTCTGAGTCTTTGTTGAGGCCTCCATGGGGGAAGCATTCTGAGCGGCGTGGTTTTTCGGAAGGGCTGCATGACCATGATAGATAGGATTACCCTGCTTCTCAGGTCTGAAGAATTTGCGTCAAAAACGCATGGGCTACGTGCTAAAACCTTAAAGCTTGAACCCTAAACTCGGAAAGCAGATCTTGCATGACCCAAAGTACCTTGTACTTGGGGAATTCTGGTATTCTAGTATACTAAGGTCATGCAGATTTTAATATCAGCAGTATGGCAGATGCTTAATTTGCAAAGCAGTGGTTTACCTTCCCTCAGGTCCCTTGTCAAGAGGGGCCTTTAGATCGCTTATTAAGGTTGTTTTACAGGATGTATCGAGCCTGCGTACAAGGCATTGCTATCGGGTTGTCATGCGCTTGTTAATTGAGGGATATACTACATTGCTTATACTCCAGAGCCCATCAGAGGAGAGGTGGCACAAGCACTTTCTGCCTTGGAGCTAGATTCATGTTTCTGCGCCCCAGATGTCCGTGGGTTATTCAAGCCCCAGCCAAAGAATTGTTTTTGGCGATTCCTTTTCTGGATCCTTACTAACTTTAAAACCACACGATGCGTATACGTTCGAGAAAAATCTTCAGTGTTAGGCCTGAAGATTCTTGTTACCCGTCATCCCCATTATACAACACCCATGAAGCCATTAAACATAGATTTGTATAGGACTCCCAAACTTGCTGTAGTCTCTAACCCTAAGCCCTGTAACGTTTGACCAGGAAACATTAGTTTTGACATGGGGTAGCTCTTTACAAAGTGTCTTTCCTGTTCCAGGAAATGGCATCGAAGTTTAGCCGTTGCCATTCCCCCGAGCATCCACGCATGCTAAGAAATGACATTCCTATAAGCATACGGTTCCCCAATCCATGTGGGCCAAGATAACAGCATTCGTGGCACGGGTTCCCGGCAGCATGCATGCTGGCCAAGATAGTAGCGTGCAGGATAATAGCAGTCGTGTTGCCAGAACTTGCAGGTTCACAGAGCAGCCAAGGTAACAACTTTCATGATGTTACCGGAGCATACGTTTCCTCGAGCATAGATGTTTGCCAATATAACAACGCTCATATAGCCAGAGCATACGGTGAACGCCAGCATTCATGCTAGGCAAGATGGCATTTAACACCGTAGCGCTAGCTTGCTAACGTTCCTGTTACCTGATCATACGGTTCCCCGAGCATCAACGTTGGCCAAGATAATTCAAGACAATATCGTTCGCGTTACCAGAGCACACGGTCCCCCTGAAAATCCATGCTGGCCTAAATGCAGAGTGCGTGTTGCAGAGGACGCGGTTTCTCCAGCATAGGTGAGGTTGCTGTTTGTGCTAACATCTGAGTCATTACATCACTACAATCGATTATGCATGCACCTGACAGCTAGAAAAATCGATTGTAGTAGTGTCGGCAAAAAACATTGCGAGCAGCGTAAGTTACAGTACACTCCTGCAGACCCTTACCCTTAACTTCTGGAATGAGTGAATCCCCTCTGATCAAGTCAACTTCCTGGACCTGAACAAGGAAGCGCCTGAAAAGCAAACATTTGCCAGAGCAGCAGAATTACTGATTACTGCTCCTGCCAGCGTTTCCTCCCAGTTTGACAAATTCTGTGATGGAAAATCATGCCCTGTAAAGTCCTAAAATACTCACGATTGCCAGGTCCGTACCGTAAAGCTTTGCGTCCTAGTAACGCCGGGCAAATATTCCGGGCGAACTCTCAACCTAGTCTTGTGCAAGGCCTCAAGCCCCGCTATGAGCTGCACCACGGTGTTCGGATTTCCGACCGTGCTGTAGTGTCTCGGCGCAGATTCCCTGAGCAGCCACGGGGCGGCGTTCACAAAGGGGTAAAAAGCACAAAATTAGAGAGGATTATCAGAGTGAATGTATGGCTTAACCGAGAACTCCTAAACCCTGATGCTTCAAGTAGGGGCTGTGAAGGGAGATAATTTGGGAGGGCTAGGTCCTTCAATAGCTTTGGGGTGTATTGGGGAACGATGAGAGCCGCCTAGGCTCCTTGGAGCGCTCCCTCAACAACCCAGCAAGAACTGAAGGTCAGTCTGACTGGGATCAGGCAAACCACAAGAGAACGATGGGGACATTAGAAACCGCCAAAAGAGTAACACGCCAAAAGAGTAACATTACAGAACCCTTGCTCTGGGAGACCTCTCTCAGAAAGCCCGCCACCATTTTTCCGCAAGATCAAGCTTCAAAACCAGGCTTTGATATAGAGCTTTCATGTATGCAACAACACTCCTTAAACCCCTAAAACCTAAACTCTGTAATATGTTCTGAGAGGAATATGACCTCTACCTGGGTCAATGAAGCCCCAAAGCACAGAGTGAGAGAGAATGGCAAAGTCCACCTCGGGCAGCAAAATTACCGAGCAATGCTGTGCCTACAACGTAGGGCTTAGGGTTGAGGGTATAGGGTTTAGGGCTCAGGGTTGAGGGTTTAGGGATTGAGGGTTTAGGGTTTTCGGGGCCATTGTTGAATAGGTTTTCTCGTTTATAACACAATAAATGTGATTCCGTGCAGATTCTCAGAATCTGTTCTCCATAATGTAGCCCACGATTCATGACACATGGGTAAATGCTTGCTGTGTAAACTAAGTAATTTGAGTAAAGACACCGGCTCTTGGATTTCGATGCCCCTCTTTAAGGCAGACGCAGGTGCTTCGGGTTCCATGCTTCCTCACAGCTATGGGTTGGGTACTGCCCCCACTCNNGGGCTATATATAACCATAGTATAAGTATTTCCCAACTGTTACTGAGGGGGGGGGCAGTACCCAAGCTATGGGGTTCTTGGAAAGTTCCGTGCGCACGGTCTCACAGGAAAAGCCGTAATGTTGAGACTCAGGTGGCCGCAGCCGTGCTGGCCGACCGGTATCCTAGGGGTACTTGGAAATACTTTTTACTTTTTGCTTATTATAATCTGAACCCTAGGGCTCCAAATAGCCCAATGTAGGTACTGTTTATAGACATTGGGGCCCAATGTAGGTATTATTTATAGACATGGAGCCCCAGGGTAAGGAACAGCAAAAAAATGTGATTTTTACTAGGGTTCCAAGTTCTCCAAAGGTACATCACGGATCGCTTCCTGCCGGACAAGGCCATCGACCTCATGGACGAAGCGTCTGCCAAGGCGCCAAGGCTCTTCCAGTAGTTTCGTGGGGTTCTATATAATCCCTATATAACCGCTATGAACCCTGTAGTTTACATTTTATTTTCCATTATCCCAATATTATCCTATATGGCACCTGTATTATCCCATGTGGGGAAACGGATTGCAGTACTCGGCAGGCGTATAGGGCGGCCTGATGTTGAGAAAGATATTGCGCCCAGGGAGGGGAGGATGGATTGAGATGAAGACATATGTACTATAGTCTTAACTCCTTAAAGGGGGTTATATAGGGGATTACATAGGGGACTACAACAAGGGTTATTTAGGGGGATACTAGGAGTTTAGACTATAGCTCATATAAAGCTGTCTCGCGTGCAGTGGCTGTCAATGCAACTTCGAACGCTTCTGGGGATGTACCAAACAAGGTGGTCATGAGATTGAGGACCCGATGGTTTAAGGGGGTGGGTCGGATTTCCCAAACTTGAAATGCTCGCCATGCACCCCCTTCTCCACTTTACCAGCACCAGAGATTCCTCTTCCTAAGACATGCTGTTCCTAGTCAGGCATCGGGGAATGGATGCCATAGTGCACCAATTTAAACCATAGACTCTGCCATAGACGCTACCCTAAACCCCAAGCCCTGAATACCGAATTAAGGTCAAGATGGAGGTGACCTCGAAACCTGCAGAGCTGGAACGCTTGGATCGCAAAATCCTCCAGCCCTTGGGCTGTACTGATGAATCCTTAGGGTCTAATTGAGGGCTGGAATCGGCTTTGGGGTTACGAGTTTTTGGGTGTGATGTTAGGGGTTGAGGAGCATCTATGGTATAGGGTACCTCAATAGACCCTGACATAATATCCGTAATGTTTAGTTCACGACAGTGCGGGTTTAAGGTTTTGGAGGTTCCTAGTTTTCCGTGCGGCTTTGGGTTTAGCGAATATGCAGTAGATACTGAGCCTGCATGACCCTAAGTGTCTTATCCCTTGGGATTGGTTGCGCTGAGCTACGAAAAGGCCATGCAGGACGTTTAATTTCCGTAGTAGGCCACTACAGGGGGATCTGAAGCCTGCTGCAAGAGTACTAACGTCTTTAAGGATTCTGACGGTTTCTGTCGATGAGAGGTCAGATGGTTTCTTTGGGGACCACAGGTAAGCCTCAAAAAGGCAGACATGGAGATTCATAGGTAGCGAAGAGTGATGTTATGGGTCCCGGGCATTAGGTTCTCCACGCGGTTTCGGGTTAGGGTTCTACCTATACTTGTCCTACTCACATTGTGACCCAGAATGACCCTCGAACCCTGAAGCCCTATTGGCCAGCAACGTCGTTTCGAGGACCGGGTCTGGTAACAGTTCCAGATGTGATTCATATGAGGTGGTTTCTCAAGAATCAGGGCGTGTTGGGGGTCCCCTTTTCGGATTCTATTGGGTCAAGTCTGAAAAGACCTCACATCTGAAAACAGGTCGCTTGCTACATTCCCGGAAGCGGCAAGATGCTACTAGGATCTCCTTCCCGCAAGACTTGACGGTGGCCATAGCCCTAAGCCCCAAGAGTTCATGTACCTATATAGTATATACGCAGGGCCCAAAAGGATCTCCAAGTAAGTATTTTAGGGCCCAAGTATATAAAAAATAGCTACACGGACCCTTTGGCCATAATCCTCAACCTTCACCCTGTAACAGTGGTATAATAGGAATATAAGAGTACCTTACTATAATCTTTATTATCCCCTATAGTCCATATTACTGGGTGGCGGGTCCACCCTAACCCTAAACCAAAAACCCTAAACCCTAAACCCAAGCTACAACCCAAGCCTCTTCCATGAAAGGCTTGAGATGGAACGTCTCAGCGTGGGGGATGACAAGGAGAGGGCAGGGAAGTATTTGCGATGTTTGATTGTATAGGGTTTAGGGCTTAGGGTTTAGGGGTATAGGCTATAGGGTTCAGAGTATAGGGTTTAGGTTGGGTACTGCCCCCCTCAGTAACAGGTGGATAATAAGTATAATATGGTTATATATAGCCCTTAATAGGACCCCTAATATAGACTGTTACTGGGTGGGGGCAGTACCCAATGTATAGGGTTTAGGCCTTAGGGTTTAGGGGTATGGGCTATAGTAGGGTTCAGAGTATAGGGTTTATGGTTCATTGTTTGTGGAGATTGCCCTTGCAAAAGCTCGCGAACTCCGTAAACTGGTAAACTGGAGCATCCCGTCTCAAGCCCCCAGGTAGACGATGAAAGTGCTATCGTACAAATTGTGTGATGTTCAAAATTCATGCGATTGGGATCCTAGGGCAGGGGCAGAGAGCAGAAACTTTCTACTTGGTCATGCTGGGGCAGGTGTTTTGAGGGGTGGAGGAAGGTCAGCCTAGCAGCTCGGGTTGCTGTTATTTTGTAAGTTGCTATCATACGGAACTCCCTTTTTCTATATTTACCCATATACTGAATTTAAGTTCCTTGTCAGCAACCCAGCCTTGTGGAGACTTATTCGAACTCAACTTTCGGTCTTCGACGTACTATGCGGATGAACTGTGTCGGATACAGGCCTATGTTATACTGACTGGGCATTGGGGTGTGGGTTTGATTTTTGGGTGGTTGGCAGTGCTTAGCAGTAGGGACACCTGCCCAATCTGAGTCATACTGCGCACTCGTCTCACCCTTGTCAAGCCACCGGGCACAACTCTACCGTGTCCTACGTAAAAGCAATAGGGCGACAGCATCTTCAAAGATCCTAATCATGGGCCCTTAGTCGCTTTTGTAGGGTCTTCTAGGGCAGGATGAAGGCCATAGATTTCTTGAGGTTTATGGCTCATGGCTCGGGAATGTCTCAAAAACAGGGGAAAACCTGATAGGTTGGGCAGTGCTGGATGCAGCGTGATGCTGTCGGCGTATTGTCCCGGTCACGTGATGTGATGTCTGTGGTTCTCTTGCATGAGGGAGCTTGCACGTGCTTGAGGGTCCCTTCTCAGGCCTCAGGTGTACAACCCGAAAAGAAGGGAATCCCCAAAAAAGACAACCTTCTCCCAAACTTGATGGGAACTCCGAAAGCGCCCTACACAGACTACTGTTAACACGTGCATCCTTTGGGGGAGTTCTACGCTGGGTGAACAAGAACTTGGATAGGACAGTCAGTCCGTGGCTCGTTTGAACGACATCGAGGAAGAGTTATCCAGGTGCCTGCAAGCTAGGTTTCTTGGATTAGGGATCAGGATTCAGTTAAAAGAGATTTGACAAGTTGGGGAAGCATGGGCTAGGGCTTTGCAGTTTAGAGATTCGGCTTTGAGAGTTTTAAGTTTTGGGGTCTGTAGTCTATGGGGTTTTGGATCATGAAGACTTGGCCATGCGAACTCTTTTCCATTGCATGCTTGTCAAGGGAATACGACGTGTCATTGGGCATGATTCTCTTTCAGTGAGTCAGTAGGTTATCCACACCAGAACGTTACATGCTCAGAACAAACATGCGCCATGAACAGCCCAAGTTATAACCAGGTTTTTTGAATAATGACCCTGATAGATGGCACTGGTGACTAGTGCCTCGTAATACGCATACTGAGCCATGCATCCATGTTCAGGGCCTCCAGGCATCGGCATCTTCCAAAATTCGCTGCAGGAGCCCCATTTTTAGAATCCTTTATTAGGAATAGGAGCATAGTCTGTTGGGGGTCTATATTGGGGGCCCCCTTCATCGAAACCCCGGTCTGATGCCGTGCCGGCTTCCTGAGCCATTGTTGCGAAGTAGCAGCAAGCTTTTGGTAGGACAGATATCCCTCCTTCAACAGTAGCCGCGAACCCACTTGGAGGATCTAGGGTGATCATACTTGTGGGTGTGGGGCTATATGGTGGGTTGTCCTCGTTTTTGAGGGTACTTTGTATGAGGGGCCGCATTATATTCGGGACCCCAAAAGCGACCATGCAGTTCACACCCCCTCACATGAGGTCTGCCCGGTAGACCACTAAAATCTAAACCCCACAATCCAAAGCCCTGAACCCTAAGCCCTAAACCCTAAGCCAGAAGCCCTAAACACTAAGCCCAAAACCCAAAACCCTAAGCCCTAAGCCCTAAACACTAAGCCCTAAACCGTAAACCCTAAACACTAAAGATGGATTTCCATCTCTTGTTTTGCGCGGCAGGCTCCGCTCCGAGCAGGGTGAGAGGGAGGAAAAGTGGAAAGAGGAACGCCACCCGGTTATCATATGAGCTATAGTCTAAACTCCTTAAAGGGGGAATATATAGGTGATTATATAGGGGACTACTATAGGGGATATTAAGGGGGATACTAGGAGTTTAGACAGTAGCTCATATAGATATCATTTAGGAGGACCCCCCCCCCTGTAATAGTGGTATAATCGGAATAGAAGAGGACCCTAATAAATCCCTATTATCCCTTATGGTCACTATTACTGGGTGGGGGGTCCACCTAAGATATCATAGGATTATATGTAGGGGATATATGGGGGAGATATTGGGGATATAGTGAGTAATGGAAACAAGGTGGAAGCCACCATGAGGGGATTAGGTATCAGGGGTCAGGGACTCGGGCTCAGGGCTTGTCCTTTTTTAAATCCTGGACCTTTTCTTGAGCGATATTAGCCAGCTGTTTGGGGGCCAGGGGACCCTAATTGTTATTCACATGCTAGATTGTCAAATCACATAGGCCAAACATGGTGGCCTTGTCGGAAGATTATGTACTTCCGCTCCTAATACTACTCCGGAGCCTTTTGATTCACCTCGATTTCGCAACCAGCCAGAATGTGGAACTTGCACAAGATTATCCTGAAAGAAGCCTCAATAGGAACCCTCATAAGCCTTTGTAACCCCCATATATGCCAAGAGTGCCCAGTGTAACAACCACCCATATTCTAACTAAGACAAATAAATGGATACTTCCCCCACCCTAAGCCAGTCCTGACATATTCTACTTGTAGTTACAATATCCCCCTTCTCAGGGTCTGGCGTATGCCTTTAACCGGGGTTGGGGGCAGTACCCAAGATTTTCAACAAAACTGATATATGGTAGTTTCCCTAAATAGGGGGACCTCAATATAGATTCTAATACATTATAATCCTTATTTTGGGGACCCCTAAAAGGGTACCCCACAATTTTGGGAAACTCCCGTATATTGGTGCTTAAGGGATAGTGCCGGGCATGGCTCGTGGATGCGTAGGATAGCCCCTATATCACCCACAATAATGTAGTAGCTTCCATGCTCCTTTCCCCTAGGTCCTATAGAACCTACATCCGATTTAGTCCCCTTCTAATAGCGCTTACCCGAAGGGTCCAAGGACCCAAATAATCAGGAATTAGGGCCCAAATAGAGTAATATTGATGGTACTTGGGCCCTAAAAACCCCATTATTTGGGTCCTTGGACCCTTAGGGTTACATTCCTTTCCCAACTCCGACTTGGGCACTAGCAAGCTGAGGTGAGTCGATCAACTCATTGCAAGACCTCCGTCAGAAGATCGAGGACCCTGCCCGGGGGGCTACCATGGCTGATAGATTCGAACCCACCATGGCAGAGGAGTATGGTATATTTCAGTCTTGATTTAGCACAAGAAGTTGGCTGGGAAAGAAAATGGAAACTACAAGGGTTACAGGGGTTATATAGGGGATACTTAGGGATGATGGAAAATAAGAATAAAGCAGGACTTTCCAGGGAGAGGCACTGGTTGGCTCTGTGATCTACCGGAGATCATACCACCCAAGACGCGTTGGATTGCAGACCAATATAACCCCAATATATTCCTATCATCCGCTAATAACCCCTATATGGTCCGTAGTTTCCATTTCATTTTCCATTATCCCAATATAACCCCTCCTGCTTACGGCTGTATGAAGTCAGCTTTCCTCAATCCAGAACCCTACCACTGGTCGGCTTCAATTGTAGGTTTAGTCTTGAGGACCCCCGTTGTACCCTTTAAATACGGGTGTATGGTCCCTATTTGGGTAATATAGAGGTAGATGGAGGGTCTAGGTAGATGACTTCCTTAGCAGGTCTTGGTATGAGGGTTTTCTCAAGAGAAGGATTTCAAGCGAACGGAGTTGATGAGAAGAACCCTAATTATTGCTTTGAGTCTTCGCAAGGTTGGCTTCCTGTACTGGGACATCGTAGTAGACTAGTTGTAGCAACAGCGCTGAGAACCGTCAATGAAAATGTGCTTGACAAATTCCTCGCCTGACTTGTTGCTTAAGGTTTCTGAACGTAACAGTAATGTAACAAACCACGTCCACATGTTTCTCAGAAGGTCCTATGCACACCCCACGTACTGCAGCCCCCTGCCGCTGAAGAACCCGGAAAACCTTGCGAATCCCTCCATGACTAGGCCACAAGCTTAGACCCCTGGCCTAAACCCACCGCTCACCCCTCTCCCTACAAAAGGCACACCATAGACGTCAAGTGCCACACTAGCTGCCCTTCATACACCCTAATTGAAAGTCTGGCTGCAAATCAAGCACGCTGGGTTTTCGACAAGCGGGGTGGCCATTGCGCGACACAGGCGTGTAATAGCATTGCCAGGCTCGCCACAAACCTCTTTGCGACAACAGCCTTTTCGTGGAGCATGCCTGAACAAAGCTCTCGCGACGGAGGTATCTCAGAGATGGTCTCAGCAATGGGGTAGGCAATTTGCAGCGGGCGTGGGAGGGCCCTCCGACAAAACGGGCCCCATCCACAGCCATAAATATCCCTGTTTTCAAGAACCCTGTTCTGGTTCTGAAGGACTTGGAGCGCGCGCTTGCAGAAGCAGAGCGTGAGATGAACTTGCAGCGAGCGGGCGAAATCAAGCGCCCCGCAAGCACTTAATGCGTATCAGTCTAGGATTTTGCTTGTTGAATCTGGGGCCTCGAGATTAGGACAAAAGGCTTCGGTTCCAAGAGTTCAGGATCTGGGGTTTCAGCTCACCTGTGCAACTGCGTCTTGCATTTCCTCCCGCAGAGGGATTCAGCCTCAGTTTTGAAAGACGAGCTTGCATGATTTTCCAAAGTTGTGGGTGAGTGAACGCCTCAATCATGGAATTCGATATTTCTTTGAAGAGGGTCTGGGGCTTAGAGAGATGAGATGCAGTGTCCTAGCAGCGTAGCGGATGTAGACGTAGGTGTGTTCTTCTTAGAGGATAGACTCGGGCACAGCATAGAGGGAATTGCAGTCCACCCCCCCTCTTTTCAGAGCAAACGAGCGCCTTGTTGCTGAACTGACACAGGGCAGGCGTGCAGAAAAAACAACGGGCTCTCTGTAGGAGTGTGCATATAGATGCGCATTGTTGTTCGCGCGCACGCGCCATGTCTACGTGCAAAGGGGTTGTGTCAAGCCTCTACACCCAGCTTAATCACGGACATGGGCAGAGCACTACCCTATCATGCTTACTTAATTAGTCGGCAATGTGGGAATGCACTTCTCTAGCAACCATCCGAAGTCCCTACACTGCCCTACATACTCCCTAAGTGCACCCAGAACCCATTCCCGCATTTCCTTCTAAGCATTAATGAGGTATGGCGAGCTGGCACCACTAAAGAAGCAGCTCGAGGCGGGCTGGGCTGCACAAGGATCCAACAACTTGGCCCTAATGGTCCAAGTAGCCCCAACAATGGGAGCCTAGAAGGAAACAAAAACCAAACAATGGGGTCTTAGGTCTTATTTGTTATTTGGGATCTAAAGCCCTAATATCTGGGTACTTGGACCCTTAGGGTTGGAGCCAAGCCTCTAGGCGCAGATGGCTAAATCTTCCTGATACACTGAACTCCAGGCCCCAAGGCCGCACAAGGCCCAAGTACCTAGGGACAATGGACAAGAAAATGGAAACTACTATAGGGTTTAGGGGCCCTGCAGGAAAGAGAAGCCGAAGCCGCAGAGAAGGAAGAGGACAGCAGGGATCCCACGTGTGGATGTCCCTAAGCCTGTGGCTCTAGGTCTTGAAGTCATACCTACTTTATCCCCATGAAGGCATACAGGCAACAGCCTGAGTTTACTGTTCAGAAAAAAATCATGTTGGGTCTGAGGGCTTGCGTAGGAGTGCCCTTCCAAGGCCCTTGCCACAAGTGTGCTTGAACCCGAAGAGTCTGTCGAATGAAAGCTTTGTTTGGCCTCTGGATAAGAGTTTTGGGTCATTCTTTTGCCTACCTTGAGGGCTTAGGCAGGTTCAAGGCCGGTGCAGTGCAGCGGGCTTTGGCCTTTATCCCGACCGTTTCTGGTCTCAGAGTGTTCACTCCAATCCGCCATACCTCTCATTTCCGGAGCTGCTGAGGCGTTCTTTTGTTACGCAGGTTCCCGAATAAGTGGTAGTTTCTCAAAATAAGGGGGCCCCAATATAGACCCCAATATACTAATCATAACCCTTATAGTGGGGACCCCCAAAATGGTACCCCTAACTTTGGGAAACCCCCAATTATGCTTGCAGAAAGGCTGCTAGAAGAAGGTTGATGGCATTGTGCCGAAGTAGCGGCCGTGCTCACCCCGCCGAGTACACTTGTGAATCATGGGAACACTTGACCAAGAAACCTTACCCCAACACAAGGGTTCGTTGTGGCCTCTAAAATCGCAGTCGCGTGATAATTTCCATGGCAAGGGGGGGCCAGATAGGTCATATAGATGCTGACATACTACATTCCTTGACACGGGGGTGGAAATCTTCATCCTCCGTTTCCATTTCACTGTCCATGTTGTTTTCCATTTGCTCTTACCCTGTAGATGTGTTTTCTACATACATACATACATACATACATACATACATACATACATACATGCATACATACATACATGCATACATACATACATACATACCTACATACATACATACATACATACATACATACGTCATTATGTTACCCTGTATATCCCTAGACAACTTGAATTAAGTTATACAATCCTCTATAACCCTACATGACCCCTTTAAAGTGACCATGCATCCCAAATTGCAGCATACAGCCAGTTGATAGTTTCCCCAAATAATTAGGGGGATCCCAATATAGACCCCACAAAAATATGATCCTTGTTATGGGGACCCCAGAGTGGTGCCCCTAATTTTAGGAAACTGCCAGTTGCTTGAGAGCCAAAAAAGCAGCGAGGACAGTGCCGAGCTAGTCAACGAGCGCGTGCGCATGGCAGCACTTACAGGGGTAGGTTTGAAAATAGTCTGCTAACCGTACAAACTTCCTACATTGGAACAACCTGTAGCTTTTCTAGGGATTCCCAAGCCTACACACCCTAGCTTAGAGAAGAGGGCCAAGGACATAAGACTTCCTTTACACAGTGCTTGGCCCTAAACCCTAAACCGTTGACAACCCTAAACCCTCAACCCCAAACCCTAAACCGTGGTCGAACTCATCAGCACGGAAGGTTAATTTTCAGCGCAGCTGCTTCTGAGTGCTTCAGGGTTTTCCAAACAGAGGCAACAGTCATGGGTTTATGGTTTAGGGCTGAGGGGTGGACATGTGAGGATGCCAGAATCAGAAGAAATCCTGGCTTCTTAGACCCAAATGTATACCCCTGAGTAATGAACCCCCTCCTTTGAAGGGCCTCAATATTAGGATCCCCAGTACAATCCCTTTTCAGAGGAGGGGGTGTATTAATCATGGGTCTGGGTTATGCGACGCAGAGAGCAGGGCTTCTCCGTTATGACCTGATTCTCGCAGAGGGTGCGCAATAAAGACGGGAGAGGCAGCTGCATTGACAATCCGCAGTGCGAAGGATTTTGCTGGGGTTCTATAAAGGATCTTAAGATGCCTTATCATATCATGGATATGTCGTACATGATAGGGATAGGGGTTAGGATTACCTTACAGCGGTAAGATAATGTAAGTCCCTTGGGGGCAACCCAGCAGTTCGAAGGGTATTTGGACAGCAAGCGTTGGCGTTGGTGCCTTTTATTGCTTCTGTCTTGCGCACGTCCGCTGAGTAAACCCTGAACCCGAAACCCAACTTCCATTTGATTCTCCATCATTGGATTAGAGTTCCTGGCATGAAAGCGCTTGTCTGCGCTGGAAATACTTACTGGTTCTTGGTGGGGAATTTGGGCAGACAGTTTATAGGGATTACATTCCATTCTTCCCTACCAAGAAACCTCAAAAAACCCTAAGCCCTTAACTCCAGGGCACCATGATTCCATGCCCTGACCCAGGACATCCAGGAGATTGTTTCCATGCAAACAGGCGGGTGGCTTCATCGCGCTTTCTGTCCCTAATTCTGGGCTGCTGTTACGGAACTTAAGCTAAGTTACCATAATGGATGCATTATAGATATGTGGAGAGGGTATATAGGGTTTAGGATTTAGGGCTTTAGTTATCATAATGGGTATATATAGTAATTAATATGCTTTCAAGCAACCAGACTTTCAAGAGCCGGAGCCTGACTCAAGGCATGATTGCTGCTATCACTGAGGTTATTGCTATGGTAGGCAGTCACTTATGGTCCCCCTTAAATAGATAGAATA